GGAGAATAATATTCGCCATGTTGCTGAGAAGAATGTTCTTTTTAAAGAATCAGAAATTTTCCAGTTTTCAATTTACCAATTGTTCTGGTTTTTAGTGTACTCTAATTAGCAATCAAAGTTGATAATAGTGTAGTTCATCTGCTGGATTTTTATTGAGATTAGTATAATTTCTAGGGTTGTTCCATCCCAATTTTGTCTCAGTTGTGGTAGCATTGAAACCAAGGAACACCGGATAGTGCCTTTTTATTTGGTATTGAATAAGGTTGAAATTATTTCAGTTGACGTCAATTCGGTGGTACTAATGATTAAGAGTTTTCCGTGAGAACTGAAGATCCTTTGTTCTATCCCTGGTGTGGTCAGGTATATTCACTGCTTATAATTTCGACAGTGATATAAATTATCAGTTTAATGCATCCTGTTTTCCAAAGGTATCTCAGCTGGAACCAAAATCAGAAAACTGTAACATAAAAGCTGACAATAATAATCAGATATGAATGTGCTGGAAACACATGTAAACAATCCTCAAAGTTTCACGGCATAGAAACGTTTGGAGATATGTAAGTAAACAATCAGAAATCATGCCAGTTGAACAAGTAAACCGTGTTAGGTCAATTGTGAATATTAATTAATTGAATTATATGTCAACTACTTACTTACGTCTGTTACTCCTCGTGCAGAATAGGCCATCCACCAGATTTCTGCAACCGAATCTATCCTGGTTTCTCCTTTTCAGTTGTGTTCCAAGTTCTATTCATTCTTTTGATGTCTACCTCGAATTTCCTTCACAATATGTTCTTTGGTTTTCCTCTTCGTTTCACCATGACGATTCCAGATGAGAGCGTGCTTTTTGATGTAGTTCTATAATTTTAATAATGTGTGACCTATTTCACTTTCAATTCCTTTTCACCTTCAACTGGAAATTGATTTGTTTACTGCCACACTAGATTGTTGTTGATATTGTCCAGTCACTGAATCTATCAATCAATCAATATGTTAATTAAGTTTAGAGAAATTCTAATACCTTAAATCTTTTGGATGAATATCCTGACAATGTTGTCTAGAAAAACAATGAAATACTACAGCTTGCTCATTCGATCTTCAGAATATAATATTCAGCTAAAACTAGGTTCATCATATATATTTGTAAGATCCGTGTAAGCTTTGCGATACACAACAACTATTTGAGTAAATAAACACAAATCAATCATAGATCTTTTTGAGTTAGTTGATATTTTCCTTTTTTTTCAGGTGAAATTTCGTTTTTCAAACTGAACAGTTTAATTGTGAAGCTTTGATTATTATCCTTACAAACAACATAATTAGCACAAATTTTGTGCAGAATAGCTCATTTCTACTTGACGTTTATGCTGCAGCTGATGATGTTGTTGTCCAAAAAGATATCGAACACTTCATGATTGTAATGATCAGCTTGAAAAACCAAATTCCATTTTTAAAAAATCATTGAATTGAATTACAAATCATTTCCATCAATTTAGATCTTCATTATTGTTTTATTTAAGTGCACAGATATCATTGTCAAAAAAAACATTGAACACACTCAAGGAAGTTATAGCTTTATGTTAAAGAAAAAAAAAGAACTCTTTGTCAGATGTTTAACATAGAAATTTGCCATCAAACATTTACAAGATTCATGCAATAACAATAAAAGTAATATAAGTGAGGATAGAAAGTGGCTAGCAATATCAAGGCAACATGCACAGGATACATATATGCCAATAAGGGATTGATCAATTGCAGTCCTAAACATCAATGAGAAGATTTAAGGTAACAATAATAAATGAATTTAAATTTCAACCCATTGCACATGCAAACGGCCATCAGAACTCAGTAGCTAAGTGGATAATGCGGTGGCGTTTGAAGTGAACGATACTGGGGTGGAGTCCTAGAGTGAACTTCAACTCGAAGATGCAACTACATCCAGCTGACAGTCCTAAATGGGACGAAATGTGCTTCCTGGATTCCATTGCTAGACACTATCCATCTTTGCTTATAAAGCTTATGACTTCAAGCAATATCGAGTGTTACGTCCTTCATCTGTTTACCCACTTTTGGTGGTGAAGATAACTTGTCTAATCTAGATTAAGACCTTGATGTGATAGGCTGACTGGCTTAACCTTGAGGCTAGTACGCGTGAGTTCGAAGCGGGGTAGAGAGAAGAAAACTATCCTACCACCTGATTCGCTGACAAGCACGCGAGTGACAGAAGACAAGTCAACTGGAAGACTACTCGATTTACCCTCAATTCCGATCTGGTTCCCGATTTCCCGATTTCAGATCAGTGTAAAAAGATACATGAATAAATAGATGACTAACCCGACCACAACGTACAGTAATTAGGAAAATACAATTATGTCCAAAACTGGAGATTAGCTTAGAAAATAGAGTACAAAATAGTATGTCTAAATCAAAATAGCTTTGGAACAAAAAGGGCTATGGTATTGAATCATAAATCAAACGAAAGCTTATGATCTGTAGAATAGACTAGGGACAAAAATAAATGTTAATGTTCTACAGGCTTTGAATTAACTGAAATAACGTCCGGAAAAATGGCTTCCGTAGTTTGTCAAGGCTTCTTGTTTCTCTGTACACATCAGTTCTTAAATTTTCAACTCCATAGAATAGAACTTTTTTAACGTTGGTATTGGAAATGTTGATTTCGGTGCTAAGTGGCAGTACTTTTTGAGTTTCCGATATTCTTTAATTTAAGGGTGTTGCAGTTGCTTTATCAGCATGTGCACTCATACCCCGATCAGATCCTTCTTGTTTATCACTAGTGTTGCCAAATCATTATAAAGCTAAGTAATTTCAAATTCGAGTGGCGATGTCATACTGATAGGTGTACTGATTTTGTTGCCTCTCATTAAAAGTACCGAGAAGCGGTTACATCGGAATTCCATGCATCGAAAAAATATTTATTGTGCAAAAAAATCATCCATGAGTTATTTTCTATAATTTAATCCGCGCACACACATATCCATACATTAAACGACCAATTAATTCACATAAGTTTTTACGTTTTCAGTGAACTGTTTATTGAGATTGATGGCATAGGGGTGATTTAGGGAGAAAAATACTGAAATGAATGCATCTTTTCACTGAGTAATACGAACCGTTAGTGTTATGAAATTATATCGTTCACATAATTAACAGTCACAATACTTAATGACTAGGGGGTAGTGGAGATTCGATCGTCGATTGATCCGCATAAAGGATTCAACAGAGTATTCAACCACGGAACCAGACGTTGAACTCCATCTTTTTTTCTGAGTGCATGTTACAATCATCTAATACATGCACTACTAATTGTTTCAATGATGATTTGGTTGAAGTCGGAAATATGTACCATTAGTTTAATTGGTTAAGTGCTCTCGATATGATATAAAGGTCCTGGCGTTGTTGCAAATAAAAGATATAACTAGACTATAATTTATAGATTAACCAATGAAATCAAAGATAGTAAGTCTTGGATTTGGGCACGAAATTCATTCATCCATATAGTTAAATAGCATTTTGTCATTAAAGCTGATATGAGTTCGTGATGAAAATTCTTAATTTAATTTTTAACCTTAAATTCTTACTCTGGATCCTAATCCTAATTCCTCACACTTATCTATAACTCTTATTATCTCTAGTAAGCATATGAATTTTCTCAAAGTCACTTTATCATCATTCAAATATCGTCCATAAATTATAGTCTTACCAAAGATAGATAAAAAGTTTTTTGTAGTGAGAATACAAAAACACGTTGGTAGATATAGATTACCTGGTTAGGATCTATGTACTACTTATCATGATCACTGGTTAGAGGTAGTTGATGAAATTAATCAGAATCGATCAAAATGGTGCAGATGCATTCACTCTTTATCGTTTACTGGATATTGAATTTTATTATTCCTTCACATATGTATCTTTTCACATCATCTTTACGAATTGTATTCTCAATGTTTAGTCTTTCATATTAATACTGGTTACTATATGATTTTGATTGCTTTTGTAAGTTATTTTATTACATTTACCTCATCGTGCTAATGTAGTATGACAACTTAGGCTAACAGATATTTACGACAGGCAATATATTGTTAATGTTTGTCTATATATTTGAATTTCCCCATTACACTCTGGGAACATTCAGGTAACGAATCTTTTGTGTGCTTCCTGAATTCCACTAGTAACCTCAATCTACGCTTATTAAAAATTATTGATATTTATCCAATACCTAAATCGTGGTGAATCAATTTTTTTTATCCCCCAAACGCCCTGGTATGGCCGAGAGTGGGATGGGCCCGCCCTCCCTGTCGAAATGCTCTCACACGGCCACGCGTATACAGCGTCTGCCAGGGAAGTCCTACTCACTACCTTCTCGTGGCGGGGGTGTTGTTTACGAAATTGAGAAGAAGAAAAGTGGATGTCCGGTGCTTTAACCGGATCCCAAACTAATGGTGCACATGGGCTCCAGTATCCTGTGGGATTAAATGGCGTATGAACCAATTTTTGGTCACCGGCTACCATGGGACTGCATCTCCTCTTGATGCTCCACTTCCTTGTGGGTTGGACCTTTAAGTCAAAGGCTCGGGGTGTGGCCCTCTAAGAAAACCACCTGCTTCGGTCTGAGCACCCGGGCAGTATCACAGTCCACACTCACAAATATGGTGTGGCGCAAATATATTTGGTGCCCTCTTGTACCAATATTTATGTGTTCAAATAAATAAATAATATATAAAATCCCAGATAAATCGATGTTATACTAGACAATATAATCAGCATCCTAATTCAAATCCATCCAACTGAGCTACACACTTTCGTCTATTATATCCTTAAATCACTCTTATCAATTATCTCCAAATGAATTATCTCTATACAGGTACGCAATATTTATTTTATACTTTAAACAAAAATACCTTTTACTTACATATAGGGATATATAATCTATAATTGATTTAATATTTCAAAATATAATCAAAAAACTATGATTTTAACCCATGTTACTCAATATTGTGGCGTATCATTCATCATCATCATCATCATCATCATCATCATCATCATCATCATCATCATCATCATCATCATCATCATCATCATCATCATCATCATCATCATCATCATCATCATCATCATCATCATCATCATCATCATCATCATCATCATCATCATCATCATCATCATCATCATCATCATCATCATCATCATCATCATCATCATCATCATCATCATCATCATCATCATCATCATCATCATCATCATCATCATCATCATCATCATCATCATCATCATCATCATCATCATCATCATCATCATCATCATCATCATCATCATCATCATCATCATCATCATCATCATCATCATCATCATCATCATCATCATCATCATCATCATCATCATCATCATCATCATCATCATCATCATCATCATCATCACTATCAACATATATGTACTATTAAATCGTTCTTTCCTGATTATATGTTTACATTTTTCACCTTATCCATACGCACGCGGACGCACACATACACACACACAGAACCATTCAAGTGTACAATGTTCTATGAAAAATATTTCACACTTTGAACAATTGTAATTTGGCGCTGAAAATTTGAATAGTACTTCATAATGTAATTTTGTTCTTTTACATATATACAATTGAGGTTGTAGACATGGGTTAACATTTGATTAGTTCAATATAGAATTTATTTCATTATATGATCCTTATATAAATCATAATTCAATTGTATATCTTATTTATGAAAATGATGAAATGTTTGTTTAAAGTATCTTCTTTTTTTACAATCAGGTCAGCTGATAAATATAATAGTGTGTATGTGTTTTTTTCCTCTTTTTGTAAATGTCACCAGTTATCTATATGTACAGTAATGATTTATGAATAACAAGTGAATGTAAGTGAAAAAGAGATCAAATAGGATAGGTATGTATCTATGACCGGTATATTGATTTTGTATAATTAAGTATATTTGAAAAATAAAAATGAAATGGATTTTAGACAAATGATCATGGATTGAATACTCTTTTAAAAGATACTTCTAGAAAGTCAGTCAGTTAGTCAGTCAGCTACAACGTACGACCAGGCACACATATGCATCGGTCCAAGTTGCCATACCTCATTAACACAACAAGATGAACACCTGATTCATAAAAGTAGTTAATTCAGTGGTGGTAATATATAAAAGAAAGACTGCATATAAGGATATAGTACATGAAGAAAGAATTAGTTCGTAGAAAAAAAGATATGAAGCAATTTTAATCTCTTAGTTTAAGGGAAGACAGAGAGTTTTTACACCGACGCCATTGTGATCGATTCTGAGCCATGTCACCCAGTCTCCAAACATTGGTTACGATAGTCACGCAGACCCCAACCAAGTAGTCTGCATCTACCAACATGGCTAAGACTAGAAGTTAGTGACTTCAAGCACTGGTGCCACCCGACCGTTGTTGCTACCTTGACGTGGTGGTCGGGCTTGCCTATCGTGATGAAGCGACCGAGCTATATTGGCTGGAACAACCGTTCCTCAAGGTCCTACCATGTCAGATAGGTCGGTTGAAGAGCGGTAAGACTAAAAGCAACAAACCCAAGGTCCGAAGGCGTAGTCGTACTGCTGACTGTACAGAGGTGTGACAGCATTAAGGTATATTCATCAGACAACCAACATGACAGCGATGCTTCCTTCCACAAGAAGGGGTGGGGTTAGAAAAAGTCGACCCTAAAAATGCACACTTCGCCTTATCCCATGGATATCTGTCTCCGGCGGTAAGGTCTCAACAAGTACGGAGCTAACACAAACATTACTCATAAAAAGGTCGTTTGTGACCGACCTCAAGCACTTGACCCTCGGGCACTGCGGTCACGCTCTCAGGTCACTAAGACCACCTTTAATCCAATTTCCTTTTCAGGTACCTCACTCTTCAATTCCTATTATTCTTCCTACTTCTAGAAAAACTTCTATCATTTCAAAATTGTGAACCAAAAGATCTTTTTCTAGTGTTAAAGAAAACACTTTTAAAGACAGTGAATATCAGAGGGGATACTTTAACAATGATTTATCGAAATAGACTTTCGGAATCTGTAAGAATAATAAATTCATTAGTTTGAGTTTTATTTGTTTATCAATAGATGGCTTATTCATGGTTATATTAAATATGAACTTCTGTTTTAAGTCAGATTATTCTATTTCTGTTAGTATAATTCTTCTCTTGTAATGGGTTTCATTAGTTATACAGACAGATCGCTTGCTAAATACATCTCAAACGCTTGCCTAGATTGACCATGAATATTAAGTAGTCACTGAATCCAAATGCTGTGAACTGTTAAAGAGTCTAAAACAAGGAAGAAATTTCTGTTTAATACAGTCTGATTTGTAACTATTCACTAGTTAAAGTTAGACCATGATGTAAACTACCTTTAAATCGAATTAATTCGCATAAATCAATGATCACATAGTATATAAATACGTAGGCAATATTTTGTAACATTCGATGAATTCAGTATGGTAGTTAAGATTATTTCCTAGAACTATGAAATTTGTTTACAAGTAGTTACACATGGATCAATATTCAAGTTAAAGGGAACTTTATAATCCTATTGGAAAGTATTGTTTTCGGAATTCCAATCCGTGTGTGGTATAATCATTGTAACATACAAACATTACGGATTGTAATTATCCATTTGAAAAAAAAGGTGAACACTACCAAATTTTATTATTTGTCTTTTTATGCTTGGATAGTTCTGTGATTACAAATCTTTCCTACTATATACAAATCTCTTAGTTCTATTCATCTTTTGAGTAAACGTCAGAATGGGTTTTCTATCGATTACCTCCAACCACCATCATATCTCAACATAGTGAACGTAATGTTGAATCATCTTGACTAGTGGCCACATATCAACTTGCTCGATAGGATTCAATCTACACTAAGAAGGACTTGATACATATGAGATTGATTACCACCCAGTGATAAACCAGTTATAAATTCATTTTGCAAAATTTATAATCTGGATTTTTAACAGAATAAAATGTTTGACAATTTCCAGTCGTCTCCAAGTTATATTATCGGATGTTTGACATCTATTAAATTTTATTTTGTAACCGGAAGTATCTAATTCATTAAACTGTACATTTAATTGTTTTATAAAATAAGCTTAGACTGAAATGTTATTTTTTCATTTGTATTGTGTGTAATTCAATCATTAACTGTATGAAAATAGCAGGTCATAGACAACAACTAGTCAGTAATCATTTTGTCATCCAGTAATTACTTACATACTTACGCCTGTTACCCCCAATGGAGCATAAGCCGACAACCAGCATTCTCCTACTCACTATGTCCTGGGCCTTCTTTTCTAGTTTCATCCAAATCTTGTTCATTTTTCTCATGTTTGTCTACACTACTCGGTGTAATGTGTTCTTCGGTCTCCCTCTTCTCCTTCGGCCTTCAGGATTCCATGTGAGGGCTTGACTTGTGACGCATTTGGGTGCTTTCCTCAATGTGTGTCCTATCCACCTCCAGTTCTTCTTCCTGATTTCTTCCTCCGCTGGGATCTGGTATCTTCTCTCCAACAGTAGGTTGTTGCTAATAGTGTCCGGCCAATGGATACGAAGTATTTTGCGTAGACAGCTGTTAATAAACAGTTGTATCTTCTGGATGATGGCTTTCGTAGTTCTCCAGGTTTACGTCCCATACAGTTTGTCATCCAGTGGTTCTCACAAAAAGCAACATAATATTTTATAAAGTAGATATAATGTGGTTAACAGTGGAATGCAAGATGCGCGTTTCTTTTTATTTGGGGCTGGTTGGTTGGATGTATTTGTATCCGGATATTGATGTTTACATCAGGACTCGAGCTGATAACCTTTCACCAGTCAGCACTTTACTCACTATGTTACTAAGTTCAGAAAGCCAGAAACGTGTTCAGATAGAAATGATGTTTAGATCAGGCTGCGCATATGACAACAAAGACTTACAGATATTCGGTGTTAACTATCAACAACGGGATAAATTAGATCTTTATTAATTATAAAATTACATAATCTAATTATCAGAACTTTATCGACATAAGAAATGGAGGAACTATTGAAATCTTTGTTTATAGTATTTTCTGACGATGTGATAAACTTCCAAATATCCAAAAAAAATTAAACTGATTGCATTCAAGTCTTGATATGTCGAGAATCGTATGAAATATAACCCACTGAATGACACATTGATGGGTTTAAACTAATTCACTCACTAGGTTCTGCCTCTTGAAGGATTGTGAATACGCTATGTTCAGTGGTCCTAAGCTGTAATGAAACACCCGTCTAGTATTATCTGATATTCAATGGAAGTCTAGCTGAGACTAGATGTGGATGTGAATTATCTTCAGATTAGACAAATTTGTTATTAACTAGAGCAGTGTGTTAGGAAGCAACCACTAGGTAAAAGTATACATGCTTTTTTGGATATCTTCAACACTTGTCAGTTAAGTATTAAATATCTTTTAGTTAAATCCATTGACTGAGAATGGTCATAATGTACTTCACGAGCACTCATCGTTAATTCATAGAGTAAATATTTAATCGAGTTAGTACTATTGCGAATTATCATTCAGTGTCACTGAAATCGTGACCCATTCTAGGTTAGATAACCATTGAAGGCCTGAGAGCACTTGACGCCAGTTTCGTCTTAGTATGGTACTCTTCGTCAGTAGGCACACAACATCCCGCAAACAGTAACCCAACTACACACATTCGGTTTGACACGAACACCCAACATTTACACCATACAACCGGTGTCCGACGGTGTTCAGCTATAACCAATCAATCCACAATATTGTACAACAATCTTCCAATGTCTTCGATCGACAACTGGTTCACACACAACACGATTTAGCTCGACTGACTATTACCCACCGAATACAATCGAAAGTGGCAGCTCACTGTCTTCGATTGATTACAGTGAAATATCAGCATCATCTTTTATCAATTCAATGATTTACAGATTAAGTATTCACTCACGAGACCGACAGTTTGAGGTTCGATTCTCAGGTGCGAAGTCGTCTATAATCACTGTTAACCGGGATCCCATACTTGGATAAAACGGTTATTCAGTGCTTCTAGATTCTCATTGTTGATCTAACATACATCATCTCATGATTCCTAATAAATTCAACAATCTTCACATGTTCTATGTGGTTAGTATATTTTCTTACTTACAAATTGCATAGTATTAATGAGGTGAATAAAGGAAATTTATTCGATTTTTCCCCTACAAATATTCTAAGAAAAATGTCAATCATTTAAGAATAGAATAATTTGCCTAAATAATCTATAAACAACATTCAATCATGGAAAAAGAGAATGGTATTTGGTTCAAGTCCTAGAGCGTACATCAACTCTGCGATGTAAGTACATTCAGCTAACGAATCCGAAATAGGACAAAACACCCATCACAG